TCAAAGCTCAAACACTTGGGGGACTATATAATATACATATGATATATGTATAAAGAAGGCAAAGAAGACTGAAGATAACTAAAGTTCAAGTCAAGCCTAAAAAGTCTACTCATCGAATGAATCAAGTTCAGAGCAAAGTTACGAGCCAATAACACAAAGCCAGCCAGTCAAAACCTTATAGATTTCAAAATTTTATGATATCTAGGTTAAAGGCAATGTTTAGCCATGGGTTATAAAGAAACCCTTGGATTTTATTTCCCTTGCAAATCTTTTGTAAAGAAAACAGTTACGAAAAAGTTATAGAAGTTATTTAAATACATGTAAGATGTTATTTAAACTTGACAAAGTTCGAATGAAAACTTTATCAAAGTTATTTGAAGAAACATGTGTGTTCCTATTTCTTTTGTCGTACATTTACACCGTTATGAAGTTGAGACGTCTTCTTCATTAAGTGTCGAATATAAGAGGGCCCTCTTTTATAAATTCATGTTTGATTCAGATATCCATGAAGTTAACAAAGCATTTTTTGCAAAAAAGGTAAGACAAAAACCCACGAATTAACAAAAAAGACCTTGAGTATAAAGACAAAAACGAGCAAAACAGAAGCTCAAGACAATTAAGTTCAACAAAAACTTCTTAATATTGAAGTTTAGACTAAGTATGAACCTAGTCGTAAACTATTTGTCATTTATACAAAATGCCCCAAAAAGGTCTGGGGACTTGTCATTTCTAAAAACCAAACCCCCAAATGGGACCACGGGTAAAACCACCAAAAAAAAAGAGTCACACTTCACAAACTTTCACTAAGGAGCAGAGGAAAGATCTAAAGCGGTATCACTAGCAGCATCAGAAGGTTTGAGTTGATTTGAAGGAGTTGAGGCAGTCACTGTACCCATATCATCTTCAACATGTTCAGGAGTATCAGCCATGGGTGAATGAAAATCTTGACCTTGCTGAATTTTTTCAATGGTCTCCTTTATCTTGGCTAACTCAGCGTCCAAGTTGAAGCCCTCTTGGCTAGCCTCCATGAGGGTATCATGGCGAGTGTATAAAATAGCCCAACTCACTTCAATGACAGTCTTGTCCTCAAGAATCTTATAATCTCTCTCCCATTGATCAATCTCATTTTTGAGCTTTTCATTCTCGGCCAAAGCAGTATCACAAGAAGATTGCAGAGGGGCAAGGGAACTTTCTAAAATCGAACCTTATCAGAAGACTCACGGAGATCTTCTTGGGTTTTGGTAAGTGTTTGCACAAGTTCACCAGCGTAGACCTCTTTCTCGCTCAGCAATGCCTTTAACTCTCTAATCTCTTCACTAGCTTTGGAGAGTTGCTTAGAAAATGATGTCTCTAGGAGATTATTGTCCTTGTCAGCTTGATTTGAGGAAGCCTTCTCAACTGCTAATTCTGAAGTCAAAACCTTCAACTGCTGCTCTAAGGTGCACTTGTTTTCTTCTAACACTTCCATATCAATTTGAAGGCTTTCATATTGTTCTTTCCAGTTGTCTGCTTCAATCTGATAATCGTGCATTAACTGTTCCGTATGAGAAACCCTCTTCATCATCTCTGTGCCAATAAGATTGATCTAAAAAAAAAAAAGGGGTAAGAGCCTTAATAAAAGAAGGATGGAATAAAGAGTAAAAAGAAACAAATACCTTTAATGAGGATTGCACTATGTCATTCATCCAAGTCAAAGAGCTATGACTCTCGAGCTTGGATTTCTCAACTAGACCGATCAGAGGTTTCAACCATACGTCAGCCTGACCTGACTTTTTCAAGAGATTACCATCGGTAGGGACCTCGATGGTAATCTGTTTCATCATTCCACTTCCGCTCGAAGAACCAACCTCAGTATGAGGAACGGTAGTAGGAGGAAATGTGGAAGAAGTCATCATAATTTGGGGCGGAGCATCAATAGTAGCAGTTACAACTGGTAAAGAATGAGCCACAGGAACAGGCATGGTAAAGGAAGCAAGGGGTACTTCATCGGAAATCAAATCTAAATTTTCATTATCAAACCCACGAGCAAAAATCTGATCAACAGAGTCACGAGCTGCTGCAGGAGTATCGTCATCAGAGCTCACCAAGGTGGCATCGACAACTTGGGTTATGGGAACAGAACGGGGAGGAGACGCTTCATCGTCTGAAAAGACGCGTCTTCTGGCTCGTGGCCTTTTTATCAAGGAACCTCCGTCCTGTTCCTCATCTTCTTCAGAATCTTGGACTGCTGCAACCTTCCTTTTTGATGAAGAACTCAAAATGATTTCTTGAGCTCTCTCCAACAAGACTCTGGAAGTCGCGACTGCTTCAGCACTAATACCACGAATGGAAAATCCTGATAAAAAGAAGGATTAAACAAGTTCTAAGGTAAAGATGAAGGAAAAGGTGAAAAAGAGAAGAGTAAAGCATTTACCATGAGTTTTCACTTTCCAACCAAACCTGTGCGGAAGGTTTTTCCACGATCGACCTTCCATTGGAGCAACTTTCAATAACTTTTCTACCCAACCACGGAAATTGGGAATCTCATCAACAATTCCCATGGTTGCTGGGAAAAAAGAAAAAAAAAGTTAAACAGTAGCGAGAAAAATAAAGGGAAGAGATAGAGAAAGTTATAAAAAAAAAACTCACGTGCAAAATTCCACTTCTCAGGAAATGGAACATTCTCTTCGCTCACTAAACCAACAGTGGGGGCAGCAACAAACCTGGCATACCAGCCACGGTCCTTATCGTCCTCGGGACTAACGCTCTTTTACTTCTCGCGACTAAAGTGAAAATGCCATGACGGAAAAGCTCTCGAGAGTAGAGATGAATCAAATGGGAAAAAGTAAAAGGCAAGCTAGCCATCCTTGTTAAATGTCTTAAGCAAGCAACAACCCTCCACACGATGGAGCCAATCTGTCCTAGACAAACGTTGAAAAAATGACAGAATTCAATGATAACAGAGTCAATAGGTGGTTTGAAATTCAGTGTAAAGGAATACGTGTACACAAAAGAAAACCCGGTCAACTAAGATATAATTCTTTGGTTCGCATTCGCAATTATAATAGGGAAATCAGACTTCCAATGGCAATCCCTACGAAAAATAGAAATCAGGCCTTCAGTAATTTGAGAAGGGTAAATGTCAGCACAAGAAGAAATAGAAGAAATTTGGTTTCTAATTGATTCTCTATCAGTATAAAAAGATAGATCAGCAGAGACAATTTCATCCACTAAAGGATCGCGAACGGGTTCAAGAGAATCTTTACTTCTAGATGAAGGTCTATGGGAAAGAGAACCTCTAGTTCTAGAAGGAGGAGTAGAACTCACTGAAGGAATAGAAACACCCCTTACAGATGAAGACCCTAAACTACGCAATCTTCCTCCTCTTCTACTTCTAACGGGAGCAAGAGGAAGATTATCAACAATGGGGACTCTTCGAGGGTTAGGGTTTGAAGAAGACATGGCAGTATGAGGAAGAAGAAGACAAGAATGAATATTCTAAGATATGAAACTTTTTATGAGAAAGACAAAGAAAAAAGCTATATTTATACTTGGAAGCAATCGTCAAAGAAAAGGTGTAATGATGGAAACATCATGATGGAAGCTGTCGCTTCGTAGTTGGTGAAGCCGCAAAAAAGCCCTAAAAGACGCTGAAAATTTGCAGAACCAATCAGAAGATGCCACGCGTCACGAGCATTAAATGGAAGTGACACATAAAGCATCAGTTCCAAAGAAGGTATAATGGCGGCAAAAATTCCCGCTTTAATGAGATCCACTTCCCAAATATTCTATTGATGAATAAATGGCAAGTGGGGGGACTATCTATATTGGGAAAAATTAAATTAATATATCGAATTAATTATGTGGTGTCATGTCATGACACGTGGAGTGGTAAAGGAATGCCAACTAACAAAGAGTAGATGAAGAGGCACGAGCTTTAGCAGGCACGGACAAAAATCCAAGAAAGCCAAAAGGGATAGGTGCTCGAACCTCTTAGTATTCTGAAGAGGCGTCAGAAGAATGAACCTAAATAGCAAAAGGGGTATAGATACATATTATTGGAAATTAATAGGCATTAATTACAGAAAGCGTTACAGAATCTGTACTAAATTCAGTTACGATTACCAATTTTAACGTTACATTAAATGCCATTGATTGTCCATAAAAACTCCATTATGAGAGGATAAAAACGTATTACTTAGAAATAGCTATAAAAGGTGAGGAATGAATTTTTATAAGGACACGAAATACTATTGAAATATACTGATTTATTTTGCTTTCTATTCAGCTATTATTTACATCAATTATTCCTATTTCTATTTGATTATCAGTAACCCAAGTTCTTCTAAAATAAAGCTTTGACCGAAATCCCAATTTTTTTGTTAAACAACTAGGTTCAAATGAAGTCAAACAAAACAAGGTTTTTCAACCTTTCATCTCTTACTTGGTGATTATCGATTCACCGTGACACCTAATTATTCTACCTTCCAACATTTTGAAAGACAAAACAGAATATACAAGTATTCTTTAAAAAAGTCAATATTCAGATACAAATTGCCTCTCCATTTCGAAACAAGATATAGATTTACTATATAGTAGGAGCACTACTTGTTTGAAGTAACAACGACGAAAAAAGCAGAACTTTTATCAATTAGAATAGCATGACCCTCCTAAACAAAGCTCATCCTAAATATCTTTATCCAATATTGTCTTTGATACTCCTTAACACACTCTCGTGATTATGGTAGCTAAATTCACTTCCTAAAATGCTTTCTCCTACAGATAATCTTGCTCGTGTCAATAATACAGGCAAAGTGATAAAGATTCAACCTTTGATTGACCAAATACGTAAAAGAATGAGGAGGTACTACCGAAGAAAATATTTCTATATTATAGAAGAGCAAGTTTTTCGACATGGCTATTTAATGTCTTTTCTGAAAAAAGTGAGGGTAGTTTAGACTTTCAACCAATACTAATGTAGCTTACTTATGACCATGTGTTCATTCAACATCCCTCCAAAGTGTGTTGTAACACTGAGACACAACATATTAGCTTTTCTGCTTCGTTTTTGCTCCTCTTGCTTCTTCGCGTCTCTCTTTTCTTCTCTTCCTCCTTGGCTGCTCCATTTGTTATTATCCATGAAGTGTTGTATGTAGGTAACTTCTTTCACTTTGAATTATCATCAAAACTTTTGGGATTTTAACCTAATTTTTGAAATTAGAATTTTAAGAACTTTGATTTCATAGATGTACCACACAATTGAGAGTGTTGAAGTTCACAGAAGAATCCGCAACCTCTCGGCAAGAAGAGATCAGATTCCGACATAATCGCCGGTATAATATCTTCCAATTTTCTTTATTTTTCATATATATCTGGTTTCTTCTCTTAGCAAATCCTGATTACTTGCAAATTTGAGTTTCTTTTTTTTTTTTCTTTTGCCTTCTTTGGTAGTTTACGAATTTTGATATTTGTTTGAGAAAAAATGGGACTTGGAGAAAGACGAGCATGGTAAATTAGGGATTTCGATGTTTGTTTGGTGCAGTTTCAGGTGTAATTTCAAATCTCTCCTCTTTATGCATTTTGTCTGTAACCCAGTTCTCACTTCAGGTGAGTTTTGTTTCTTCTTCTTCTTATTTTTTTGCACTCATTTTTTGGTAATGAAGATATAATGGGTATATATTTGTTATTCTATGATTAAGAGGATCGCAGAAGAGAAAAATAATAGAAATTTATTTATTGAAGAAGAGAAGATAACCTTCAAACTACTCATTCGCCAGGGATGACAACAACTCCGTTGAGTTTGGTTCTTTGTATTTCTATTTTCTTTGTACGTCTTTATGAAGTTAGAACATGGTCGCGCATAGCGGGAGCTTAGTGTACCGGGCTGCCCATTTCAACTTTATCCTCTCATAAAACCAAGGAGAAAAGTGAATGAAAGATGGTGATTTCTGTGAGAGATTTTAGAAAAGGAAATAATCTGACATTGACATCTGGTGCAACTGTCTCAAGCAAAAGATAACTCCAACTAGATGGGATTATAAAGTTAAAGAAATCTTTCATGGGAAATGAACACAATCTGACAAAGGATAAATGTAACATAAATATCAGTTACAGAGTTGCATCAAGTAAAAATGAATGCAAAACCATTACATGTTTCTCAATTAAACAATCGACTACTCTCACTGCCAAATTAATTGGTGTCACTATATGAATCATCTTTATCCATTCCACTCTGTTCAAATCCATTTCATTCCAACAATAAATGCAAGTCAAATTAGAGTTTTTTTTATCAGTAAAGAAGTCAAATTAGGCTTTTCTAAAACTAAAAGTTCTTTAAAAACACTGCATGTTATGGTTAATATAAAAGGAATCAGTGAGCAAACATCATTTGAGCTATATGACCAAGGCGATATCGCAGTATGTCTTTTGAAGAGTCAGTTACGCAAACAAACAGAAGAGTACAAGTAATAACACATGCAGCAAGTGCATTGTAACAAAAAATTATCAATGCAGGGTACACAATAAATCAATACCGCGTAGTTATATGATTTTATCGGGAAGTATGAGTTTCGAACTTTTAAGCAACTAAAGGATAGCTCGGTGTTCTAAGCTCCCGCTATATGCGGGGTCCGGCGAAGGGCCGGACCACAAGAGTCTGTTGTACGCAGCCTTACCCTGCATTTCTGCAAGAGGCTGTTTCCACGGCTCGAACCCATGACCTCCTTGCCACATGGCAGCAACTTTCCCAGTTACGTGAAGGCTCCCATTCTGAGCTTTTAAGCAATTGTGGTACATAAATTGATCAAATAATTACCCTCGGCATCTTCATGATGCTGAGGGTAAAGCTAATGAACTGAAAGATTATGAACTGAATGGTTGAGGGTAAAGCTAATGACTGAATACTGCTGAACTATACGAATCTCGACTATTTCTATTAAAGTAATCATAACGCTTCTGTTACCCTAAAAAAAAAATCCTCAATTATGGCGAACCTCCGGGTTACTGGGATCATTACTTATATCCTGGCCATTAGAATTTACCAAAAAAAAGACACCTTTTTGTATCATTTACTGTGGTGGGAGCTTTGATCCACTTTCTGTAGGTTTAGCTAAATCTTGGAAGGAAAACATTAAGAAAATTAAGCAGTTACTGGGGAGAAGCTTTTATCTAAATTGGGAGGAAGAACTAGAGAATATAATCATTTCCTGAGATGTTTAAGAATTCTAATCTTCAAGTGACACGGGTACTCGGGTAGTGAAATCTTGGGAAGTCGATATGAAAGAGTAAAAAGCCTGGAAAGCCTCCTCTTTTATATGGAAAAGCTGCTGCACCAGAAGGTTTTTGTCCTGCAACATTGAATCAAAGGTTAACTTTTAAAGCTCGAAGGCCAGTCATTCTCATCAGACCAATAAGAGGAATATTGTGATACTTAATCTGTACTTACATTGCTCGACAAGAGCATTACTTCTGCTAAATTATGGAAGAACTATGAGGTCCTTGGTCTTTCCTGGCGTCTAGAATGAAGGTCCTTTGATTTACTCTTGAGATCACAATGTTGTGTGTTATTTACCATGCGTCAAAATAGGCACATGTTTGCAAAAAATCTGAATTTGGTTTAGTGCTTATATATTAAAAGAATTGCACCACTACATTTTCTAAATAAAAGATTAGTACAAGCAACTCTTATAATATTTGCAAAACTAAAAGATTTCAGCTAATACGAGCTTTAAGCTACATAATTCTGCTTTCAAGCTACCATTGTGCTATTTGGCATATATTCTTGATTTTATTTTTCTTCACACCGCATTACAATTGAGAGTAATAGTTCTCACTGCTTTTCTTCACTATTTTTTTGCGAGTAAGAGTTCTACTAATAATAAAGTTGGTGCAGCTGACATTTACATGCAAGATGTTTGGTCATGATGGAGATCACTCGATTTGACTCATGTATTTAGGAAGTGTAAAGTCAAGGGAAATTCTAGAGCACCAATACAGACACCAGCAACTTTGATGTTCATGGATTGGTACATTCCTATTACTTTTATCGACTTTCTGATGTTATGTTCTTGGTTCTGCTTTAATCTTTTAGTTTAGTCAACTTTACTTTCGAACCTTGAAAGGTTGTGGCCATATAAGTGCATTATGACTGTATGTAGAATTCCATGGAAGGTTCTCGAATAAAGCTGGCTCTTCCTATCATATTATTCTTTTACCTATCTTATTATTTGAGTTGATATAGTAAGAGTTTTGATTTCATACTTTTAATATTAGCACAAGCATTTCAGCTACTTTGGCTAATGACTGATTTTCATGCTCCCTTGAACTCTTTATTCTGGGATGTTGATTTGCAAAATTAGAAAACAATTGCACTGCTTTTTAGCTGCAACATCCAATTATTTACTGCCTCTTCACACATAAAGATTGTTTCACTGGTTGGTCTATGCATATTGGGAGATTCATTTTTCCCGGTCTGCAAAGGTACAGAAAATATCTTAGTGACAACAAGATTAGTGCATGTAGTATTGCCTTAGTAAACTGCCCTAGGATCTTTTGACTGTTGGGACATACATGTTTCTCGGTTAACTCGATCTGTGGCACATTTTCTATTATGATATCTATTAGCACAAATGAAGAATAAAGGGAGAATATGAATCTCTTGGGAAATGTTAAATGAGTCGAACGTTATATGTGAAGCTATTTTTTTTTCCAGTATTATGGTTTTAAAAAAACGCGAATTGAAAAGAACTTTACTAAAATTAAT